TGGTTATTAAACACAAAACCCTGCCAAATATGCAAAAAAATGCATGTGCATGCATTTTCTGTAATCTTTTTATGCACTTTTATTGACATCTATGGGGTCAAAAATGCACTATGCTGCACCAAAAGAAACACCTACACCTTTTAAAAAATTGCACTGCACCATGTTGTATTGATGTGAATGTGAACCATAGAGAATAATGTGGTTTACATTGTCAAGCATTGCAGCACAAACACATTGCAGATGCAGGAGAATCACTGTATTGTGAGCTGAACCTTAAAGGATAAGTTCACCTTTGGAACATGTTACATGTTCCCCCCGTTTTTAGTGTGGAACATGTAACATGTTCCCATAGCTGCAGCTGCCCGCCCTCCCACTGACAGATAGTACGGGGAGAAGCTTCCCTGTACTATCTGTCAGATTGAAAAGAGCGTGTGGCCGTGCAGGACTCTGCACATACGGCTGCGTCACTCATTCACAGAGTTCTTTGAATGAGTGCCTACAAGCCCCAAGAGCCTTAGCGGCTGTTGGCTTGCAGTTTTCAATGAACTACCATGGCACTGTGGAGCACCGTGGTCGTTTATTGAAACTTCCTGTCAGAATATCTACTTGCTCGTACATACCGTACATCCCGTACGGCTAGCAGATATTCTGACAGGTCTGCAGGAGACCTGCATGGCATCAACGATCTCCTGATCGCTGGTGCAATGCTTCACAAGGCTCCTTTGGACAAAAATAATAAATGCACATTTTTTTTACCTGCAAAAAAATTAGCATTTATTATTTTTGTTCAAAAGGTGAACTTATCCTTTAAAGTGTTATTAAATCCATAAGCAAATATTTATTATATTGTCTTTTACCAATTCTTCGATGTGATGGATGCATTCTTTGATATGATGAATGCATTTGTTTTCTTTTTTTGGCTTTCATTCCTTTTCATCTGGTGATCCTGCCATTAAGTCCGTAATTTTTCACCAGAACAAGCTCTTCTGCAGTTAGAGTGCTGAGACAAATCATTTGCCACTGTGTGTACAATTATCCACTTTTATTTATCCATGTAAAACCTTTGTCTCAAATGGAAATAGCTGTTGCTGTAACTGCTTGTGTAAAATGCTGTGCACAAATATTAGAGTATGACTGACTGTAAAATGTACAATAAATGTTGAAATTATTTGAGAAAAGCATACCATAGTAACCCATGTAGAAGCAAAAGCTTGGAGTGTTGGACTTTTCATTACTAAGTTAGAGTTACCAGTGAGAAAAGTTGACAATTGATGTCAAAGTCATAGCTGGCGGGTGATTCTTCCTCCTGGCGCGGTAAGCGTTACATATCCACGGGAACACTGTAGCAATATGCTCTCATTAAACCCTACTCTTTAGAGAGCACCTTTTTTAATCCCAGACTCAGTTATCTCCAGTCAGGAGTAAATGACTCTCTTTGCTGCAGCATGCTGAGGGAATAATTGAATATATGTCATATCAATCAATTTCAGAGGGAGATTTACACAGTTATCAACCTTGCATCACTTGTCCATAAATGATGGGAGGTGTCATTGTCACTAGGGGATCTGCCAAATGAAAGAAACCCACCGTTATTCTTTTAGTCAGGGAAATGAGACATGGGATTAAGGATTTAGTGCCTTAATAACAAATCACTCTGCTGTATATGTGCAGCAAAATAGCCAAGAAAACCAGGGGTGGCTATGCTAGAAAAGACATACTGTGATTAAATACAGTGTTAAAAACTTAGTTTGTGAGCATTGTGATCAAAGATTTTCCACATGTGCCTTGTTGATATACAGTAGATACTGTAGATTCAGAAGTAATGCATGCTAAAAAGGTAGAAAAAACAGACAAAAAATATAAAACATTCTAATTATTATTATGGGTACTTATATATCACCTTCAGTTTATACAGCGTTTTACATATATGTTATACAGTCACATGAATTGATGGACTGTTTGAATGTGAGTTAGCAATCTTCAGGAATCAGGGCCATCCATTCCATATTTGAGAAGCTATTGGTAAGCTATCATTGGTGAACTGAAAAAATAAACTTTTTTTTTTTTTGGCTAACTTGAGTTTTTGGATGCAAGCTTTCAGGATAAAAATAAGTATACCTGTAGTGTGTGGAAATTGAATAATCTAATATGCCTATTGAATGGTATGTAGCAGAAAGACATCATTTGGTACAGTAAATGTCCTGATAATATTTTCAAAATCCCCTAGGATATACTGTATCAACTTCTAGAATATGGTTAGAATGGGTATTTTCCTTCCCTATCCATCCAACCTATTGTCAGGCCCACGTATGTCACATGGTGGGGCATGTCTATGTGTAAAGAAATAACTTATTCGCAGTATTTTAATAGGAACTTTAGGAGTGTTTTGGGACATGCAAATTGTTTATAATTTTGGATTCCTACAGTCATTTGGAAGTTTTTGCTGCCTGCGCATCATAAACATATACAACACATAGCTTGGTTAAATCCCATACAACCACCATCGATAACCTCCAGTATTCCAATTTGCAGCAAATTAAATGATATTTTAACTTTGTTTTATTATATGTAATTACCATAATTAGCACACAATGGAAAATAGAGCCTTTAATTTCAGTCTTTAATTTCAGTATGCTGAGCTAGCAACTATAGTCAAATGGTCTGAATAAGTTGTTTAATAGTCTATAAACAATCTACAGCAGTTTGACTTTCTAAATAATTTCTAATAATACATCAAATGTGGGTGGATGCAGTACTTTGTCTACAACTTAACACATTATTTTTCTTGTCAATCAATTAATTAAATGGAATATGTCACAAAGCAAACTACGTGTCTCAGAAGCCTCTGATGAAAGCTGCTCTTCATCAGCCGACAGATGAAAGATTCCATCAAAAAAGTGGAAGGCTGAATTGTATGTATCGTTTGTTTACTCTGGTGACAACATTTCTCAGATGTTTTCACTTTTTTTAATATTGTTGTAGGAAACATGACAAAGCCAATATCAAGTACTCAGCTATAACTAAAAGGACTATAAATGATTCAATACATTGACTGTATAATATTACATTTTCATTTTGCATGTCTGTTGCCATGTGAACACTACTGTGCCTTCTTGGTGTGTATTTTAAAGCAGTTCTCCATGAAACAATGAAATACACAGTTGAAATACCTCTGTGTGAACTGTCAGTGGACTTATAATGCTATTGAGTAGCATGTCTTATGATTAATACACCTCTGCTATACTTAAAGCCCAGTTAAGTCTCTGTCCACCAGTCCTCTCCCCAGGGATTCAAACAGTGTCTGAAGATATTACGCAGCCTCTGTTCCAGCATCAGCAGATCAGCAGATTTTAAGCCAGTTTATTTATTGACTTTTCTTCCCCAAACTCATTGTGAACTAGTTGCAGTCCACGAGATCCATAAACTGATTCACAATGGGGTGGATGACCACAGCTTACCCCTCCTGTGGTGGACAGGTAGCTGGAACATAAGTAAAAAAGATGCAGGCATTGGTACTTTGGAAGGGAGATGGCAATTTTATTGAGAGAGACCCTTTTTTCGAAGGACCCTATGAATACTAAAGGATGGGTGAGCTGTATTCAGAATAGCAGAGGGGTTGCACTCTCTCTGCTCTCTTGCTATTTGGATACTAGCCTGCATAATTGGTGTGCTGGGCTGGTTAGTCTTGGGAGGGAAAGGTCTATGCTATTTTTTTTTTATATTTGTTTATATAAACAAAAATATAACCATAGAGTTACAGAACCTGTATTTTCAGGTGAAAATGCAATAATACAGTAGCTCAGCCAGGTGAATTTAGTTAAACATAGGTTGCGTAAAGTCAAGGAATGTAGTTTTCACTGGGCAAATCTTGGGCAAATTTCCATTAGTTTGGCTTGTTACATAAGGTAAATGTTTACCAAACAGTTTGGGGCAAATTTCAGCTGAAAAGGCAATCAAATCATGGATTGTTGCTGCACTCACAGCTTTTCAAAAAAATGGACAATAGAAAATTCAGTTGGAGACTGTTCACTATCATTTTCTTGAACTTATAGTAGGCTGTGTGCAGTAAGAGGCTTTTTTTTTTTGCTATGCCAACCTACTCTAAATTTGTGTCGGATATCTGGTTGTTGTTGTTTTTTTTGGCAGAAACTAGAGAAAGGAAAAACAGTGCAAACCAGTTACACGTGGTCATATATCAGATGAACAAGGCTCAGTATGCTCTTGTGTATCCTGAACACAGACATTTATATAAAACTTTATTCAGCAGTCCCTGAGGATGGTGCAATTTTGTGTCTGGCTCTATCGCCACCATTAACCTAGGTTCTTTTGAGTATATAACATTTGCAGCATTACCCTTGTGTGTTTATATTGTTTCATAAAACTATGTCACTGTGCTATATCAATAGTAATCTTGTGCAGATACATGAAGCGTCACACAGTACATTCATTCGTATTAATCATTACTTCTGGTGAGGTGTGGAGTTTTATTTCTTGTTACTGCTGCACAGTTTCTATGGCAGCATCAACCATCCATTTCAGTCCATCATTTTAAAAGTCTTGTGTTTGATATTTAAAGAAAAAAGAAGAAAATTACACATTTATGGAAAGCACAGGAGATATATTTGAATTGCTTTTGAGGGGCTTATATTTGTCTTGCTGCAAATTTACAGACAAATAGCTATATTTCATGTTTACTAAGAGTCTACTTTTACAGAGAGAAAAAAAAAGATTGCACATTTTATACTGCTGACTGCAACTATGATAGCAGTGTGCTATGGAATGTATAAGATGTGGAGAGGACAAACAGCCAGAAAGATAGATATAGTTGGCAAGAAGAGGGAAAACAAGGGTATTGTGATGGCAGCAGTCTCAAAATCCACCTCTGCCATCAGAATGTGACAGTGGCACTCACCATGCGCATAGATTTCAAACTCACAGGACAACAATAGCTACCAGCACATGTTTTCATGGAAACACATCACATTCACAGTATTTGCTGTAGCAATTCTGACTTTTAACCTCCCTGGCAGTATTCCCGAGTGTAGCTCGGGGTAAGGTTTCAGTACCACAAGCGGTAACCCCGAGCTACACTCGGGCTTACCATGCAGCGCTGCTCCGGGATCCCTCGATCACTTACCTTGTCCTGCGCTCCCGTGATGTCCCTCCTGCAGTGTCCCTGGCAATGTAATCTGGTGGATGCCGGCATCTGTCTTCTGGGTTCCGTCCCCTGCGAGCGTTGGGACGCACGGGGGATGGAACGGCGGGAAATTTGAAAATGACAAAAAGTGACATTCACTAAAATCACTAAAATCACATAGTAAAACATTACTGTATCAAACCATTTCACATACATTTTGTCCCTAGTGCTTTGTCCTGTGCCCTGCCTGCATTTTTACTGTTCTTATTGCCTGGAAACTGAGAAACGTCCATGGCGTCCAAAAAGCGTCCGTTTAGGTCAAAATCGGTTTTAGACCAGCTAGAGAACAGCGATAGTCAATCAGAACCACTTGCAGAATTGAGTGATAATGATTCGTGGGGAAATTCGTCATCAGACACTGAAAACAATTTTGCAACTTTGCTCAGTGATGTGCGAACTTGGCGCTCTATTTCAAATTTCAGTGTTTTTGGTTTGATTATATTATTGAATTAAATTTATTATTATTATATTATTATTTTTTATGATTATTTATTAAATTATAATTTATTATTTCGTGTTTCAAGTTTTATCCTACCCGGGATGTTTACTAGACTCTTGTTCGGACAGATTTCAGTGAGTTATTCCTAAGAATATAAAACGCCAATTTTCCATGCAAAATAATGGTACCGCTTTCAGCACCAAAAATCTGAAATAATCATACCGCCAGGGAGGTTAAGAAACATCTGTGATATACATTGTCATGTCAGACAAGGATATGACAGAGGTTGAAATATAGTACACTCTTCAAAGTTATGGTTAAGAACATTTAGAGATAAAGCTTGACATTTTCTAGATATTGTTTAATGAAAACAATAAACTATTAATGTAAACTATTTACAGTAAAATATAATACAAAAAACCTTAAAGAATTGAGCTCTTTCATTTCAAAGCCATTATTTCTAATTTTTTAGGGACACTTTAATGACAGGCATAGTACCACTGGATTGGTGTAAGGCCAATGTGGTGCCAATATTTAAAAAGGGATCAACATCTTTACCAAGTAATTATAGACCTGTTAGTTTAACTTCTTCAGTTGGGAAGACACTGGAGAGTTTAATAATAAAAGATTCATGAAAGACATAAGTTTGTCAAACAAATCTGATTTCTTTTTATGAGGGGGGGAGCAAAACCTTGGACAGAGGGGTGGCTGTGGATGTGGTATACTTGAATTTTTCAAAAGCATTTGACACAGTTCCCCACACTGCTAATGTGTAAGGTAAAGTCTACAGGCTTGGAAAAATCTGTATGTAAATGGATAGAAAACTGGCTAAAAGTTCATATTCAGAGAGCAGTGGTTATTGATTCATACTCTGAATGGTCAAGGGTTGTCAGTGGTATACCCCAAGGTTCAGTGTTGGGACCCTTACTTATTAATATATTTATAAACGATATAGGACCTCACTGTTGTAAGCAGGGGTGGACTGACAACTCATGGGGCCCCCGGGCAATAGGGGATCATGGGGCTCCTGTGTCCTCGCCCACACTCAAACCACACCCAAAAAAGCATATGAAAGGAACCAGGGGCATCTCATGGGGCCCCCTACTGACCCCAGGCCCTCGGGCAGCGCTTGAGTGCCCAAATGGTCGGTCCACCCCTGGTTGTAAGGTTTCTTACCTGGAAATCCTGCTAGGAACAATGCTTCCTGTTAGAGACTGACAACATGAAAGGTTTGCCTTACAGTTAAATGCAGTATTTTCAACCTGTTGTAAACACTCATTCAGTTAGCCCTTGAGCTGATCAGATAGGAAGCTCATCAGTCAACTAATCAAATGTGCATACACAGGCTGACAACACTGTTGCTAATTGTGACTCAGTGGTTTTTTGCAGTGTCAGCCTGTAAGAGGAAAAAACTGTTGCTAGCACAATCTCCAGGTAAAAAAAAAACCCCCACAAAATGTTATAAATGATTCCCAAAACTATATTTGATTAAGAAATAACACAATGCTAAATATACTGGGGTTGTTTTACTAAAAGAGTAGAGAATTTTCACATTCAAAGTGAATTTTATCTGCACAGTGAATTTTTACTTAGCTTAATAAAGGAAGTAAAAATTTTGCTAAGAATACCCAATCACGTTAGAATTCCCTTGCAAAATGAAATGTCAATTTACAAACTAAACATGTCCTAATCCTTTAGGAAATCAGTCTCGGTAAGAAATAGATCTAGGGTTATTTTACACTTTATGCAGAAAAAAAGTACTGTGACAATAGGTATATGTAAACCCTTTACTTATTTATAACAAAGTCTAGTATTAACATTATTATTAACATTAACATTAAGTATTAAGTCTAGTAAAGTCTAGTATTAACATGGTAATACTTAAAAAGGCCTTTACTGCAGTGTATTTGTTCCAGCATTATAAAATAATGGGAGATAAATGAGTTCCCATCATTTGGACCAGACAGGGTCTATATGGTTAGTAAAGTACATATATCAATAACTCACATAAAACAGAAACAAAATATACATATTGCCAATATATGATCCTTAATGAGAGGCAGTAAGTGGCTTGGAAATATCCAGGGAGTTCTGTCGGGATTAATAGAGAGAGAGGACAGCCTGAATGTAGACCTTGCAGATAAAATGAAAAGGTGAACTAATACTCTTCACCATCCCCACTGCCCCACCCCAGCTCCACTTACCTACAGTACATTGGTGATTCAGTTTCACTGTCCACTGCTGTCTCCGGTGAAGGGGGGGGAATGGGTATAGGGTATTATTTCACTGTTTCAGTTTTTCTGAAAAGGTGAAATATTACTGTAAAGTACAGGTCAAAACAGCAGGTTTGCTTTAATGCCTCCTTCCCTTGCAGCACATACTTACCCTTCAGTCTCTCCCCTGCCACACTGGCCAGCCTCTGGGAATGAGGATAGGAAAGTTTGTATTGTTCTAGCCAGAGCTAACACATGGCTGAGGACTCTTCTTGCCCCTTGATGATAGCGAAGCAGCAACCCACACACAAAAACACCATGTGGTTTGGTTTGGAGTGATTTTACAAAAAAGGTTGGGAACATATTTTCCTGCATTTCTCGCAGGTAGGTCAACCCAATGAAATGGATGGGTTGCCCTACACACAAACACACACAGACATGAATCAGGGCTTATATTGTTTAGTAGTAGCCTTTACTATGTAGTAGAAAAGTTAGGGCAAAAGTGTATTTTTTTGTTTAGAATTTACTTTTTTAATGCAGTAACAATGTAAGACTACACATTGATTCCTAATAATATATTCATTGATTGAATGCTTTCCATTGTAGCTGCCACTGCCAGTATAACAAAGCACACAGCTATTCTTGTATATAGCATTTGAAGCTTTGAGGAAAAAAGCATACAAAAAGAAGCATACTGTATTTCTTTTTAGATGTCTTTTCTCCTTTACAGATTGATTGCTGCAATTGCATAAAAAAATGGCTTTGTTGGAGGGAGTACTGTTATAGTTTATCCAAGTCATCAGGCCTTCTAAGTCAAAAGCAGAATGGGCAGTTCTTTTTATATCCCTTGTATTTTCATATTATTATATTGTTGGAAACCTTGACTAAGGCTAATGGCCTACTGACCATATAGAAGAAGACATACCAAAGAAGTCAATTTTATTTAAGTGCTTTCATCAAAGAGACTAGTACATCTGTCAGTTTCGATAAAAACAAGTAGCTATAACAATATGTCAGGTGGACAGTAAGTAGGTAGTTATCTGCTCCACTCTTGATTGGGTTATTGTTCATCTCATGGCAGCAGGCTGAAATTTTGTTGGGTAGATAAAAGTGATTATGTGTTAGGTATGTAACCTGCCTGAAGAACATCAAGAGGCCATTCTTCACAGTTCTGTTATATATAACTTCTAATATAAAGCAATACCATGTACAACATCTAATACAGTATATACACTAGTATGAATAGTGTTATGTATTCACTCATAAATTACTTTTCTTCTTTGCACTGACAATACCATGCTTATTGACTTTGATTAAAGCAATGTAATGAGTAATAAGGATAATAATGATGATGTACACATTAACCCCAAACTCATCAACCCTTAGCAACCAGTCATCGTGTAGTCTAAGGTTACAAATCATCCTAGTTTCCAAGGGGACAGATCCCATTTTTCCCTGGGAGTCAGGCATCGTAGTGATTTGCAGTGCAAAGGCTCAAACTTACCGTATTTTCCGGCGTATAAGACGACTGGGTGTATAAGACGACCCCCTACTTTTACTGTTAAAATGTAGTGTTTGGGCTATACTCACCGTATAAGACTACCCATCTTCCAGTGCACACCAGTGGGAAGAATCGTGCCCCATCATTGGTGTCAGTGGGAGGAATAGTGTCCCATCATTGGTATTAGTGGGAGGAATAGTGCCCCATCATTGGTATTAGTGAGAGGAATAGTGCCCCATCATTGGTATCAGTGGGAGGAATAGTGCCCCATCATTGGTATCAGTGGGAGGAATAGTGCCCCATCATTGGTGTCAGTGGGAGGAATAGCACCCCATCATTGGTGTCAGTGGGAGGAATAGTGCCCCATCATTGGTATCAGTGGCAGGAATAGTGCCCCATCATTAGTATCAGTGGGGGGAATAGTGCCCCATCTTTGGTGTCAGTGGGAGGAATCGTGCCCCATCATTGGTGTCAGTGGGAGGAATAGTATCCCAACATTGGTGTCAGTGGGAGGAATAGTATCCCATCATTGGTGTCAGTGGGGGGGTGTGGAGGAATAGTGCCCCATCATTGGTGTCAGTGGGGGGGGGGAATAGTGCCCCATCATTGGTGTTAGTGGGGGGGAGGAATAGTGCCCCATCGTTGGTGTCAGTGGGGGGGGAGGAAAAGTGCCCCATCGTTGGTGTCAGTGGGAGGAATAATGCCCCAATGATGGGGCACTATTCCTCCCACTGACACCAATGACACTTGCTGACCCCTGTTCCAGTATGGTGCTGCTGCAGCCAGC